GACTACGAAGACGACGATGACTACTAAACTACTACCACCACCACCACCACCAACTACTACTACTACTACTGCCACTACTACTACTACTAATACTACTACTACCACTCATCACTGCTACCACTACTACTACTACTACTATTACTACCACTACTACTACTACCACCACCACTACCACTACCACTACCACTACTACTACTACTACTACTACTACGACTATACCACTACCACTAGTGGTACTACTACCACTACGACGACTACTACTACCACCGCCACCACCACTACTACTGCTTTTACTTTTACTATCGCCACGACGACGATTGCAACTACTACCGCGAGCACCGCGGACCCCGCACCCCGCGGACCCCGCGAACCCCGCAAACCCCGTGGACCCCGCGAACCCCGCGAACCCCGCGAGCCCCGCAACCCGTGAACCCCGCAACCCGCAAACCCCGCGGACCCCGCCAACCCCGCGGACCCCGCGGACACCGCGTGCTGCTTGGACTCTCGCAGCCGCGGTCCATGATGACCACGCACGTGCCACCAGTCATGATCGCGGCTACGACGACCTTTGTGCGACCACTGTGCCACGCGAGGTCAACACGCACACAACACGTCGTCAAAAGCACGTTAACTTGCTGAGAAGAGCAGACGTCACATAGGAACAGTCCAAGCCACGGGGGGGCCCCCCCCCCGACGAACAGAATCAACTCTTACAGGACCAAACTCAATGCACAATCCCAACTTCTGATTGTAATACATTTTTGCTAAAGCAAGGGGAACTCAGGTAGCTCAAGCTACCTTTCGTGACATCAGCAGCAGCAAAGCACGGCAGCATGGCAGCAGCACGCCAGCAGCAGCAAACCAGCAGCAGACCAGCAGCAAACCAGCAGCAACAGCAGCAGCAGCACCACCACCACCACCAACAGCAACAGGCAATGCGGCTCTGCCATCTTCCACAAACACCTTGCTGATGCCAAGGATGCCACTGCCATTATATAATCCTTGCATTTTTGGCATCAGTTCATTCAATAACTTCAGCCTAGCCTATCGGCCTATCCGCTAGCTCTCGTATGGGGCGGGTACCGTTGTCAATTGTAACCACATGGCAAGCATAGACCGTATCAGTCCAGTGTAAGCATAGGTCCCCAGAGTTAACAGTTAAAGCTCAGCCTTGGCTGGTCCAAGATACAGGAGGAAAGAAACTCTGCTGAGGCCTTTGCCCTCAGCGGTCAAGCTGAGGGATTGGCATGCGAGGCTTCCTTCTAACATCGATGGAATATGTGGAGAAAACGTCGGCATTCAGCACACTCAGGATAAATGTACGTACGATATGAATGCCGCATGCCACAGATGTGAAAACCTAAGAGTCCAGGGATTCCACGGTGAAAGCTTAAGAGGTCTAGAATACCAAGTCTGACGGAGTTCGACATGTCTCAAACACAAGTCTGCCAAGCTCATTGTATAGCACTTTACTGCAAACCGAAGCCAAGAAAGAGTTCTTGTTCTAGTGAGAAGCAGGGATCAAGTGGGAAAGAGTTCAAGCAGGAGCAATCTCGTGTCTGTGCATAAGTCGACAAGAACACATTGCCCGATGTATCTCTAGCTCATGACCGTCTCACGCAAACATTGAGAGGTACTGTTTTCTTCTGGGCTTTGCAGGTAATGGCAGATTTGCCATGGTTTAGCTGCAACGCCTTTGAAAAGACTTTGAATTCAACAGCGCTGCTTCGGGGCTTTCAGCAGTAGTTGTACTCCTTGGATGCCACACTTGCCGTCTGCAACCCATGAACATAGCTACATGATGCTACATGGCAGCCTTCTTAACACCCAACTCTCTCAAGCAGTTGAGACACAGCCCGGTTGTGCATGATCAAGCGGTCGTTGACAAAGTAGAAGCCTTTGCTACATTGAAACTGGTTGGGAATTTGCTCCCCAAAGTCCATTGTTGATCAGCTTTGGAAGTAGCTGTATGGGAAGCTTGCAAACGTGAACGTCAATGATCCTGTGGCATGCACACATGCACATGAAAAAATTCTTCTCACAAGCTCAAGGGGCTGTCTGAACGCACTTCCCACGGGCTTGACGTCAATGCTTCCTTGGTCTATGAAAGGCTAGCGGCGCACAAGGAGCTTTGGGAGTGCGTGGATTTGACAAGGCTGTCGGCAAGAGGGCAGCGAACACCAACACCATGCAACGCATTTTGCGGGTTTCAACTAACACAAGATTGCTGTGTGCCAGAGGAGAGTCAATGAATGATTTGGATGGCCAATGAAATGCAAATAATGTGAGTCATATTGTGGAGCATCGGGATCATTAGAAGCCATGTTGAAGCATTTGGCATCTGGGTCAAGAATGATTTGCAAGGCTCATGTTCAGCTTAGCAAGGACGCTACTGGGGGCTCCTGGCATCGCTACTAGGAGCAAGGACGCTACTAGGGGCTC